CCAGGGTATTCCTATTATCGCATTGCCCACTCACGGTCTGATGCATAACCCAGCCCAACACAATTGAGAATATCATCGTTGATACTTTTCTTACTCCCGTATTCACTTAGAACGCCTCGCCGAATTTCCCGTCGTGGATCAAGTGACATGGGTCGTTGTCATGTGGCCAGATTTTGGATGAGTCTGATCAAGGCTTAGGCACTGCACGCTGTAGTCTCGAAGTAGTTGTCAAATTACAAATCGGTCAACGCCATCGTGGGCGTTTTTAAAATCGATGAAGCTAGAGTGGAAATTTGACTACCATTCTATGCTTTGTTCTGCGTAGATTTGCAATCTGATCAGCACATGATTTGCCTTTGCTGAACCCAGCTCGTTCCGGGAGGCGAAGTTCTGCATCCAGTGGACCCTCTATTCTCTCCAGGATAGTGCGACTTAGTATGTTACTTGTCATCAACAACAGCATGATTCCTTGCCAGTTCTTGCACAGGCCTCAGTCATTCTTCTCTGATAGCTTGATATAGAGCCCAGCCATTCTTTCAATTAGCGAATACTCTTTCTTCTTTCCAGACACTTGTAGTAATGGTGTGAGCACATCCGCGGCAGTCTATGCATCCGTTTTCACCGCTTCAGTGGGAAATTCGCATAGTCCCGCTGCCGCTTGGACGGAGCTTAGTAGCCTCACTGCAAGTAGGTTTCCTTTAAACGCATAACTTTATTGTCTCCTACCTCCATTGAGTATATAGAACGGGAAATGTGGATTTATGTGGATAGAGCATCACCGCATTCCTTTAAGCAAGTGGACTAGTTGGTGCATTATATATCATGTCCAAGTGACTTGTATCTTTCCATGTGATATTGTGGTAAGTTTTGAACTTGTTTTCTCATATTTCGTTCGTGTGTCGGTTATTGTTCCCTCTGCGTATCAGGTAGACATAATTCAATCGACTCTTATTTGTATGAGTGTTGTTGTCATGACTGTTGCCTTTTAGTCTGAAATTAAAAATAGAAACGAAACAAGCAACAGGAGTAGTCTGTGAGTTCATACATTAAAAAGGCTTATGATTTCTATAGCCCTAACATGGAAATTAGCACTGGTATCACTTGCAAACTCACTTAGTGTGACATTAAGTGCCTTTTCAAAGGAGGCCAGTGAGCTTGCTAGTCGCATTTGCTTAGTTAGTTACTTACATAATCGGACACACCTAATCACGATAAACTTTTGCTTGGTGGCTGTTTTACATTGGTCCAAACCCACTGTACCCTCAGTTTGCCTATGATTTTATACAGTGTCTTCTGAAAACTGAGTACCATTAGTACCGAATTTGGTCACAGTCGTCTTAACCATGATGCTTCTAGTCCTAGGATTCCATATCTGGTGGATTAGCTTGTGCCATTTCCGGGTCCAACTACTTTCAGCGTGAAGTACCTCTGTACTCCTTCTACTTTCAGTTTGTCTTCTACGCTTATACTGCTAAATATGAATGAGCAGTAATCCAGGAGTGGGCTCACACAATCCTTGTACAGTAATATTCTAGATTCACTTTTGTAGACGTTTCTAAGTAGGAAACCAATAGACCTGAGCGATTTCAATGTTTGTTTCGAGATATTCTCAGAAAATGATAGATTATGTGTAGATTTCAGTCCTAGGTCTAGTACAGATTTGAGTCTGGCGATTTTGTGGTCTTGAATTGTTGGGTCGTGTTCTAGGCTAGGAAAGTCGATGTAGAGTGATATGTAGTCACATGAGGTGTGTTTTATTTATGACAGTCGGTTATATTTTGCTATGTGTATATTTATTGATATTCCATTGTAACTCACAATATGCTTTGTCTGTCCGTTAGCTAAATAAACAATGTATAACCTTATTGTCACATGACATTACAACCAATTAGAATCCAATGATGGTAAGATGTCTATCTTATTGGTTCATGTAGATTAGCCATTTTCGTATATACTCTTGTATTGTACATTTTTATACACACTTGTTCACACATTTCGTACACTACGTACCTTTTCACTCACACACTTGTGTGTCAGTCAATTTCCTTTGTTGGAAAATACACGTATCATCGTGAACGTGGTGGCTTTCTGATTTCGTCGTTTCCGCATCACTTCAGTTAACTACTCTGCAGTACATAACAGTAAGTTGGCGATGGGGAAAACAATGGATTCTTCTAAATAGGAATTACTAATTGAGCGACAAATGAAATTAATGGTGTCAATGTAGTTGAAGATTGAACGATCAATTCACGGTTGTTTGCTCAAAACCAACTTCCCCAATTTTCGCGGAGGCATCAATACGACAGTCATCGTCTCATCGGTTGCTGTTCAGAAAGAAGTCAGTAGTAAACCGTCAGAAGTAATATCGTGATTTATTATTGTAATATTTGTTCACAGACCTTAGTGGAAACATTTTTTATATGTTGGTGTTACAATAAAGAATTCTCGAGTGGCCGATTGGTGTTTAGGTTTTTGCGTCCGTTATTACTAAGCGTTTCTGAGAAACTTCAAGGAACAGCGTGAGCCTGAGTGCAGCAACAGCTGGGCATTAACGGTTTACGAGACGTGGCTGACACGTCCCCTGACCATCTTTATAACTTTCAGCTGCCATGTTGTCTTTCTGAATAAAGAACTGATTATATGATGTAATTTTCTGAGGTTTCCTTCACCTGCGGCCTGGCTGCTTCTGCTGCTTCAATCGACAGTGAGTTTTAGAATTGTCTCTCATCTCTCCTATCACTCATCTTCACCTCTGTCTTTATTCAGTGCATTGCGCACTGAACTCAGCTTCTACTACTGTTCTCTTGTTCATCTTTGCAGTGAGTCATCTTCTCTTTCCTCATCCCCCTCTCCTCGATTAGCTTTCAGGTAGGTATCCATTGAGAGCCAGTCCTCGTCGCGTTTCTTCCTGCTTCCTAGAACAGTCGTACACGTTTCCTCAACTATCGCATTCAGAGAGTTAGTTTCAATGTTCTTCGACGTAGGTGTCCTCAATGACGCTACGCAATGTCCCTAATATTGCTCTGATGGTTGCAGTGATGGTGTCTAGGTGTTCACTGCTCTACTGTAATTTCGTCTTTAGGTTTCTGAGAGTTGAACACGAATGGTGGTATGTCTCACCGTCCTTTTGAATTTTTCAGATTCACCCTAAACCCTTCTTGGAAGCGATGATGTTCTGATCCCACATCTGCTTCCCTTCTCGACTTTGTCCTCAGCATGCTGCGTCTCCATTTTCCTTAGCGATACTGAGATGATGTCTATCTGGTTTTCGGTGTGTCTAACAGGGGAAATCCACGCTAGTTTGTGCATATCCTTATGGTTTTACGCGCTGCCTCCAATCACCAAATCCTTGAAGGTGCACTTTACCACGATTTGTCCCCCTTCCTTTTTGAAACGTCCACGTGAGCGTTTCTCGACTCATGATGAGTTCTCTTTCTGCATTATCTGCTCCCAGTTTGACCTTCATTCGAATTGCACATAAGGACTTTGATGGTCACTATCGTCCGTTACTTTTTGCAAACATCTGCAGAAATTTTTTTCGTCTCTAATTCCGCTTCGTTTGTAGCATGGTGCGTAGCATTGGATAATTGTAAACTTCCTTCCTCTTGAGTTGAATCTTGCTGTCATTATCCTGGTGGAGACTTGTTCACACTGCATAACAGCTCTGGCTACTGTTTGTGGCATCACGGTTTCCACCTCCTCCGTTTCTGCAACGCATGGTGACGATATTGACGAAGTTTGTAAACTACTCATCACATTTTGAAGACGCATCCACTCCCACCATCTATCCATGAGTGGTTGAAAATCACAAATCAACGTCCATTGAGTTTCTGGTTAGATAAATCACACAGAAACAAACGATGAGAACAGCTCACTTCTTACAGTAATTATCAGTTGGCCAATATTCTGAAAGAGAATAAAAAACATATTCATCTTGACCTCATAGGTTCACTTCAGGTCACCTCACCTTACATTCAGTGAAAATGTACTGCACTTCATTTTATTTCTTATCTTCATAATCCGTGTGTGAAATTAATTTGCAAATCACCAATTGTATTTGAGAGACTTCAGGTGGTTCAGGTATAAGTAGACTGGTTATTCACACAGACAACTGATTGTTTTGAGCAGACGGGTAGACCACTTCTCTATTTCGGTAAGTACACGACGTTTTCAATATTATTTGCATTATTCTGTATGTGAACAACACGACACTGATATTCAATCATATAATTTCTTCTCATTTGAGGAAGGAGACCTCTCACTCATTGATTTGTCCTACATGGTCAGAAATAGTCGGTGAGATGCATGTGTGGTTGTTTCACTGTAAAGTGACGTTGACAATGAGAATACACGCTGTTGAAATGTGATGTCTCGTATGACATTTAGTCGCAATATGCACACACATCAATGAATGTGAGGGCAGTTAATTCAACATGGACATGATGTGTGATATGCACTCAACTGAATACATCCATTGAAAGCGCACACAACAGACTCGAACAATTGGTGAAATACTAGAATGTGTGCCCTAATGAAACATTGACTTTGTGGAAGTCAATCTGTTGTAGTAACCAAGGTGAAGTCGGTAATACATTTACATTGCAATCCTCCTACTTGCACACATGAATAGCTATGTAACAGTCTGCACGGGAATTATTTTTCTCAGTGATTTTGTTCCCATCATGATATTCAATAGTGAGTGTTTATTTTTCTCTCAGATTTGAACGTCTGCATCATGCAGTGAGTTACCACGACCTATGTGATTTCTCGTATTCATGAATGAGTCATGCACCATCTCCTTGTATGTCACTGCACATGCACAGTTATTGTTTCGTTTGTATTCCAAGCACTGCGTCAAGCATAAAATGCTCGGAAACCGCATTGAAGCACACACTCTAGTCATAATCTGCACGCCTCTCTCATTCTCTTCCTTTCCTTTCCTTACAGACTCATCATTCTCAGTCTTGTCGTGTGTACCCACACACTACTCGTGGAATTGAATGCTAGCAAGACATACATGCTTCATTTACGTTGGCTTCCAACACACTGTCTCAACAGATATGTAGGTTTAAACAGGCATACCTTTTTGGTGACTATGTTGATTGTTATTATTATTGTCATTTCATCATTTCGATTAGTCGATTATTCACCTTTATGGGGGCGTGTCATCACAGTGTTTGTTGGCGTCACACACATCATAAAACCAACTTGTCCAGTTACTCGATAAGTTTTTGCATGCAGTCACACACGTCGTCACACGGTTTTGTGCCGTTGAGCTTTCAGGCTCAATTGATGAATGTTAGTGCGTCTATTATTCAATAAGGAACGCTGAAGTTCTTTAACAAAAATCACATCTCAGTTCGAACGTAGATCAATGTGGAGAGTGCCCGAAATATGCATGTTTCACATCCATTCCATTCACCTGGTTAACGAGTATTACTCGTTGAATGCTACTTGACACACAACTCATTCTTTATACCCATAACCATATGTCTGGAACATCAATCAGTGTCAGTGAGTGAGGCGTATCATGACAAACCGATGTCGAATTACATAACCACACGTTGTACAATCATCACAAACACACATATATGTCAGATTGACATCGGCAGTACTCATCAGTAAAGTTAATTTCAATCGACTATTAAAAATGTCAATTTGATTTTCAGTGTACTGTCTCGAAGAGTACATTTATGGATATTTCGAGATTGAGGTGAGATTACTCTGTATTTATCTTTTGTACATTGACACGTTCTCCGACATCATCAATGTGTGGTGTCCCCACTAAAAGCGATGAATGAGTTGTATCTATTCTTTAAAATGCGGCAGTGCTTCACTTAGGTATGTGAATATGGATACAGCTGAGAAGATGATCATCAGCACTTATAAAATGAAATGGTTGACACTAACTAACTTGTTTCATGACAATAATGCACATTTGATATTCTTCAATGTGCACAGTTGGTGTGATCATTCAGGCGATCGGTGTAATGCAAAGCGAATCACTCAATCACAAGAAGACAGATGAATGTGAGGGAATATGTGACTGACTGCACTGCAATGGTGCTTCTGAATGATTACACAGAAGTCTGTGAAGTTCCCCTAAATATCATCCTCACAATCAATCCTCTCAAATATTCTATACGGTGGGGCACAATTTGTATACATCGGATAATTTATATATTGATCGGATGTCGAAGAATTTTCCATGTGTAAACTCTAACAAAGCTGGGATAACTTATTGAAGATGTTATAGCATGATATCATGTTATTTAGATAGACACTTGTTCGAAGTAAACTTTCACATATGCTTGCTTATTGATGTGTGACTGAAGCGATGATTTTGTCTCGAGGTTGATTTCAGTGTATCAATATTATTTGCTACAATTTTTGTGCTAATACTCAGTTATTTCAAAATTTCAGAGCATCACCTCACTTTGACTGGGCTGACTACGCATGTCCACAGGGTCTCCCCTTCTCCAAAAAGGATATTGTGAGTGACGAAACTGGCATTTTACTCAGGCGTCTTTAAAATATTACTTCTTTGCACACAACAACATTTCACCATTTCATTCACTCGCATGACTTGCACCAGTGACGGGACTTGTGAAACGGCTGCTGGCACAGCACACAGTGAGCGTTATTTAACCATTCCACTCTAATTTTCTCTCGCCTTTCCTTTTCATCTTCAGAATAAAATACCTGATCTGAATGCCTACTGGACTAATCCAACTCGTGAAACCTTAGCATAGTGAGTCACCTATCACTTTTGCTGTTGTCTTTCACAAGACAATGCATATCATGGACTTTACCGTGGTTTTTTCACTAATCAGAGCAAAGCAGTTCGTGTGCATGTGTGTGTGCTGGCGATCGCCTGCTCATAATGATTCATCTGAGGGATTTGTGATCGCCTTTTTGACACATCTACACTTCGAAATCCTGATTCCAGTGAAGGTGCATGGATGGCTGACGAGGGTGTTGATGAACATCATGAGTGTTTGCGTGTGACTGCGCGTTTTTGTTGTTGTTTTTGTTGGTTCTGATGATGGTGATGGTGACAAACTACCAGCTGTAGGATTTCTTAATACTGAATCTCTTCTCGTGAATTCTGATTATTTCTCTTACACAAATCTCATATTTCAGCTTCTGGGTTTATCGTAATTATGGAGCTTGTGCAGTTATGGATGAATCCGGAAGCAGTCCAATTCTCTACTTCGATCGTAGTATTAATCTCTTCAAACAACTCATGACTCCGAAGTACGTCAACACATGTTTCTTTTGAATGTGGTTATTATTATTATTACTGTTCGAATTATAGTCATCATATCATTCTGTGGATTGTGAAGCTGCATTCACGCCAACTCCCATTCATTTATGTTTCCTCGTGATACAAAGTGCGCATTTTCACAGTGTCTATACTCACCTTCGTTACCATGTGTACTGTACGCTGCACTCAGTTGTGGACAGATCTAAATAGAGACTGGACTAGACTAGACTAGACGAGTTGGTTTATGTTGAAAAAACTTCCGTGATTTATGAGACATACTGGGGAGAAGTGATAAGCAGGATGGCATTAGCATGGTCAGGATAAATGAGTCAATATCTTGATTCATCTCCAGGACTATTGGGTCGAGGAATGTACCAAGGAGTTTCTGTGTTATCATTCTACGTCGAGATATTACTAACGCAGCAACATATTTCCTGATGCGATTTTTCTCATTCGACCATTAACACACACTACCCTTCATTTCAGTAACGTCGAAAATCTCCATAGCATATTAGAGAAGAAGGTTCACTCGGTAAGTTGACATTCAATTTGTCCATCACACAAATTCATTCTAATTAGGAGTAATCAACATTGAATAATCACACTAATTCACAAACTGCATTCATTCACTCTATTCATGCAGACTGCAAAAGTGGAGGACGACCTGTTGAAAATATTCGGTGTACAGCCCAAGCTGATATGTGCAGAGAATAAGGTGGGTTATGTCCCTTCTATGCAGACATATTTCCAAATATTTCATCATGTCACTATACTTGCGATCTATTCCATGTCTTCATAAATAACATATGCTGTGTATGTCGTTGAATAGGTTTGTGTCGATCGGATTTTCAAATCTCTTGATTTCGCCAAACAAGACCAGAATTCACGTCAGTAGCTTCAGACATCAGTCGATGGAATTCGGTTCGATTTATCTTGAGCATGTGTGTTTGGAATTGAGAGATAAGTGAAGGTTTGTGTTGGCGAAACATTTCGATTGGCGAATTTTCGCCTTTGTAACTACCGAGTTTACATGATTAACTGTTTTATTCGTCATTTTACACTGTGTAGGTTGGAAGTGTTTACTTACACGAATTAGTATTCTGTTTCAATGAAGCGTCATCACTTGTCAACTGTCCATCGGAATACGCCAGCCATCTACAGGAATTTTATCCTGATGAAAATGTGGAAGATGAGGAATTACTTAGGGGGAAATTAAGTCTCAAATCTTGTGCACAGCAGGATTCACCATTCCTGATTACAAAATACTTGGAGACGCCAAAGAGGAAGACAGTCATAATGGGAATGATCATGATGACCTTTATAATGATGGTAATGATGGAGATGGTGAGGATGAGGATGGTGAAGATGAGGATAGTATTGAATAAAATGGTGATGAAGATTATCATTATTAGGATGATGGGAATCCTATTCATGATGATAATGTCTCACTCACTTTTCATTTGATGCACTAACCTCTTGTAATGTTGTTTCCAAAAAACAAATATACTCTTTTTTTCAATGAAATTTTTTCACTATCATCATCCGTCTCCGCATGAACATCACGTCTACGTTTCTCACACACATAATGTGTAAATCATCAATGAATCTTGTTTCTTGGGGAAACACCATGGTACACCTATTATGATTCCGATTATGATCCCATAGTACTTCCACGTTTTCACGCTCTACTATGTGCTAAATCTGTACTCAGTTTAAGATGAACAACGTTTTGCAAAGAAGCACCAATGAAAGTTTGAAAAGATGTGCTGTCAACGAAATGGAATTTCTAAAGGCGAGATGCGATTACAAATAGTCCACAATTGCTTAAAATATGCACGCAAGGCGATATTAAATAATACAATGGCAAATATTGAACAAGCATAATTGGAATTGGTTTCTGCAAGTGTATAACATGTCTACGTGAATTAGTTTGGTAAGCTCACAGTTGGACTCAATATAGGCGTGCTGCAACAGTAGTAGAAGATAAATTTCGGATTTGATCTTATTGACTTTCATCCTATCATGATCCTTGCTTCCAGGGTTTTCACTTTACACCGTTAGTATCCTCTGTCACTTTGTTGCTTGTTTATTACGCTCCTAGTTCTTATGCGGAATTCGTGCCATTCCTAAGTTCACAGTAATTCTTAGAATCAGGAGACTTTCAATTCCATATCAGTTTGTATATTAGATATGTCAAACAGTGAAAGGGTATTATAACTGACAAGATGACGTTTTGAACACAATTTATTTTTCATAATCATATGATTTCAGTAAATGAAAAATCCCCATATTGAAATCAAAACAAGATTTTGAGCGAACAATTGATAGTTCCATCTTTGACGCTATTAAGCCCACCGGAACTCATACACCTAGACTTTATGGCTTACCCAAGATACATAAGCAGGGAATCCCCCTACGACCAATCCTAGACATGTCGAACTCACCCTTCCATTTAACTGCCAAATGGTTGGTAAAACTGTTAGAACCGTTACACCGCCAGTTGGTCAAATATAGTGTAAAAGATGTCTTTAACTTTGTTGAAAATATTAAAGATATGAAAATAACAGAAAAAACCATGTTATCGCTGGACGTAACATCACTATTTACCAACGTCCCCCTTGTAGAAACTGTCGACTACATATGTGAACAACTCGTAGAAAAGAATATAGAAATTGGAATCACACCAAGAAAATTGAAAGAGTTATTACTAAAATGCACTATGAATGTCCAATTTGTATTTAATAAAGAGTACTACCGCCAAATAGATGGGGTTGCTATGGGCTCTCCCCTTGGTTCCTTATTAGCCGACATATTTCTATCCAAATTGGAAAATGGTCCTTTAAAAGAGATACTAAACCAACTCGATTATTATTGTCGATATGTTGACGACACCTTTATCATTTGTAACAATAATTTGGATAAACAACATCTGCTGCAAGTCTTCAATAAGGTACACCCAGCTATTAAATTCACTTGTGAAGAGGAACTACAAGGTAGTATTCCATTTCTCGATGTCCTTCTCACAAAAAGATCAGACGGTACCTTGAAAAGAAACATCTATAGGAAAGCGACGTGGAACGGACAATACACCCACTTCCATAGCTTCATACCTATACAATATAAGCGCAACCTAATTCGCTGTCTTAGTCATAGAATTAGACGCATATGTACCGAGGATTGTATTGAAGATGAAATAAAAAATCTTACAAACGCCTTGCTACAAAATGACTACCCTACCAACTTTGTAAAGAAGTATATCTACGAAACTACACATAATACCAAGCGAGACACAGTAAGTAAGAAAAAGCTTTACTTAAATGTACAATTCAAAGGTGATATAGCCAGTGATATATTAAACCGTAGATTAACAAGATCAATTGAAAGAACTTTTAGTGCCGCAAAACTGTATGTCAGTTTCTCAACCAAACCGATATTGACACCGTGCATTAAAGATAGATTGCCCAAAATGGCGACATCAATGTGTGTATATAAATTTAGCTGCTCCTGTGGAGCTAGTTATATAGGTCGTACCCAGAGGAATTTATCTCTACGCACTCGTGAACATATTCCTGTTTGGCTTGGGAAAAGAACAACCAAATCAATTAATAGTGCAATTCTGTCTCATCTAGTGGATAGCGAACACAGCATCAAAGTAGATGAGTCATTTACAGTTGCGTATCGGGTACCGAACAATCTCCCCAAAGGCACACGATTACGCCTCCTAGCCATAGCTGAGGCTTTAGAGATTAATAGAGAAAGACCAGATCTATGTGTACAGAAAAAACTTATTCACTCTCTTTGTCTACCCTGGCCCACTATAAGGTCACCAGGATCATAATCTTTTCGTACTATTATTATCATTATTATTATTTTGTGATATCATGTCTTTATTATCCATTTCTCCAACCAGTTTATTTCACCTCATTGTTACCCTTACTTTGTCAACCTTTATGATTTTATACTAAACCTACCAATTCTGTAGCATTTTATTACAATTTACAATTTAGCCCCTTTATTTTATCATTAGACATTATCGGTCAGCCCTCATATCCAGTGCCTCATTTTTTAACGTGTCTTTACATGTATTTTGTGGTTATCGCATTTTCTCACCCCAAGGACACTTGTATTCTGTTAACTATAAAACTACACTATATCGCCTAATTGTTCATTCACACTTCATCACATTTTTCTGACTAAACACCCTATACACATTTAATTGACTATGCTAACTAATGGACTATCACCTCAACTTACACATGCACCCCAATACAGTTTCTGATATTATTTTCATTTGCCTTTACTGGCTATATGTACTCTATTATTCATGGATTTATAACTGTAGAGCCTGAAGAAGAAGTTATCGAAAACAATTGTTCGCTCAAAATCTTGTTTTGATAATCATATGAATTATAACAAGACAACACAGAGATTTCTGGTTTTTCGAAACTGCATACTCCTACAATGCTCAAGCTATACATGTAGAATAAATTGTCAGTCCAACTACAAATTCCGAGGTCAGATGACCTCCACAATAAGCGCACTGTTCCTTTCTAGTATTGAACTTTGTACGCTCTTATGTTCACCCGATATTCAGGTCGGCATTCAGGAGAAGTCTCATCAGTAAATATCAGTGAATGTTTCGTGGTCACTTCCATGTCATTTTGTTGCATGAACTTTCGGTTTCGTCAATATTCGATGGATGTCTGTCTGTCTGTTTTTGACATAGAACTTTGCATATATGTGCGGCAGTTCAAGTTACCACACTCCATGTAGCACACAAAGCAAGAGAAGAAAGTAGAAGAGATGCATAATAGAGACAGCAAACAGAACTGTGAGACAAAGGAATGGTAGTAACGAAGAACAAAACAGTTTCATTGGAAATCATAAGTCACAAGGAGTGGATGCGTCTGCACCTGACATTGAGAGCGATTTTGAGCCATGTCACCAATTGTTTCCAACCATTGGTTTTTACCGTCCAGAGGACCCAAGCCAGGAAGTATACAACTTCCTACGTGGCTTAGACTAACTGTTGTAGATTTCATTGACTGGTGTCATGTTTTGGTTTGACCGCCGCTAGCTCTTTTCCAGCCTGACCCTATATCAGCTAACATTGCCCGTCGAGGATGGCGATGACTGGATGTGAAAAAATAGAAGCCGAACTGCAAAAAGTGAAGGTAAATCATGATTCATAATAGCAGTGGTACTAGTAATAACTAGCGACATTACTTCCAATACGACTATCGCTAATTGTAATAATAATAATAATAGTCATTTTAATATATGTGTAAAACTTGGGCACTGTGGTATTAAGTAATTCCATATTAGTTTGATTAATAATCAAACTAATATGGAATAATAGTCATTATTTTGACTTAGGTAAATTTGACAAAATGAATACGGTTATGCCAGCACTTCCTCATCTCACTCGTTGGTTTTATTCCACAGGCAACGGAAACTCATGAATTTGTAGTATTCCTTCTATGTCAACGAAATGGAGCTAGGACTCGAATACAAAACTGCTGAAACTGAATTAACCTAGCCTGAACTAAGCCGACTACTAGTCTGTCCCCGAATTCTTGATGAAGCGTTATATAATTTGTCTGTGCATGTACAGGGAACAGCCGCGGTACGTTCGAATCTGGTGAAACTTTTGCACGTGTTTTTGCTGATATTCATTTTTCTGTTCTGCCATATTATCGCCAATAATAATGGGCAAAAGCTATAAAAAGCGTGTTCATGGAAACACTAGTAATCTATCCAGTAACGCATTATCACCCCTTAAATCAGCTGCAATTTGTAGTTCACCCAGTACAAACAGTTAAGCATAAGGCCAACCCCTGTAACACAGGTGGAAGATATCCTGTCACAAAAGGCAGAGATTACTAACTCAGTCTGCATCATAAACGTCATGCAGCTACAAAGAAATGAACTCAGGACGAAACTAAATCTACTTGACCTGGTACCAGAAACAATCCTCAATCTTAAAAAGGAACTGAGGGATCTCACTTTCCTAAAACGCTTTAAGCTCAGGACTAAACCAACCGATGCTGAATTGGAACATGCCAAGGAGCTAGAAAACTCTATGGACTATTTGTCGAACGAAGTTGTCAAGGGACTTGCTTCTAAACAGAACGCCATAGTGTCCAACATACCACACAACGAGCCCATAAAATCGGTTCATCCTTCCTTGTTAAGAGCTTCCAACCTTTTAAGTACACCCTGTCAGTGTATTAGACTAAATAAAAAAGAGACAAACCGCACAAGTCCCATACCTTTCAGGTTTGACAGCTGTATTATAGCCGAACAATTCAGGAAATCTGAGGATATTT